TGCAGGTCATTGGACTCTGGAGGCTCTGATTCTCCGCGCATATTATGGCCACGCCCTGCTTCAGGAGTCTGCGGACCTGGATAATGTCCCCATCGATGACGCACGGCTCATTGTGACGGTGCGTTCGAACAGCGCATGGGACTGGCAGCGGGGAGTCCTTGGGGGTGCAGATTTATGGGCACGCGCAGACGCGCTCATTGCGAAGAGGATGTCAGGCGAGATCAACCGTACGTTTTTCGCAGATTTTTTCGCGATCTGACTCAAGTTTTCCTCCAGGTCGGACCTTCTTGTTGAAGGACTGAATAAAGGCCTCTCGCGTCTCTCTCGAGCACCGTTCCGACTCGCCTTGTATCTCAATTGCCTGTGATTCTCTCACTCCGTGTTTCGCACCCGCCAGTTGTACTTGAATTCACCCCTGGCTTTATCGGGTTGGCGAGTCGCAGCGTCGCACAGCTTATCGGACGTCTGCTTCCCTACTACTTCCATGGGCAGGCAGCGCTCGCGCGTTTCTTTATCCACTTGACGATAAACGATAAAGAACGCCATGTGGACACGGGCCCCAGAATGTCCGACGAGCTTCTCGCTCGGGTGATTTATGGACTTTTATAACTTCAAGTTTGGCTATCTTCTGATATCTCTCGACCTCCTCTCCTTGTACAATGTTACCCGTTTTCAGGCCATCCTGGTCCGCCCTCGCCCTGCTTGTGACGTCCCCGCTGTCTTCGATTCTGGCCGCAACAGTCTCCGCGACCCCTGCCCAAACATTCCTTGGGATCGGCGGCTCTGGGGCATGGTGGCCTCACGACCTCTTCAATTTCCCAGACTCCGTTCGCCAGAATCTCTCCTCGCTACTGTTCTCGCAGGCTGGCCTCGGGCTTAGCAACTACCGCTACAACATCGGCGGTGGCGGCGTCAATGTCTCGAACCCCGTTCGCGCTCCAGGGACTTTCTACGTCAGCTCCGGAGTATACAACTGGAGCGCCGACCCGCAGGGCATCTACTTCCTGCAGCAGGCCTCCGCGCACGGCGTGCCCTCGCTCACTGCGTTCGTGAATAGCGCGCCGCCCGCAATGACATCCGGCCATGCAAGCTGCAACGGCGCGTTTGTGAACGGTAGGAGGATCGTCGGACGCTGGCATGTGCTTCTGAGCTTCTCTTGTAGGCACGGGGCTGGCATACGGGACGTATATCGCCGATGTTATTTCCCATTGGCGGGCCGCGGGTCTCCTGATCAACTTTATCTCGCCAATGAACGAACCTGATAACAACTTTGGGTGCGTCCTTGATCAGGCTGAGGTGCATGTTCACATTTTTATTGTTCATTCTTTCTCTGTCTCTAGTCCCTCGCCGTGCGGTCAGGAGGGAATGATGGTCTCAGCAAATCAGTATGTCGTCCGGCGTATTTCCGGTGCTCGACGTTGACTACGACAGACGCGCGGAGGTAATCAACGGCGTATATAGCGCGCTTCAGGCCAAGGGGCTCGAGAATACCGTCGGCATTTTAGCGGATGAGTCGTCCTCGCTGTCTTTGGCGACGAGCGAAGTCACAACCTGGCTCCCTTCTGTCATCGATAAGGTATACCCAACAGTTCCCAATCTTATCCTTTTTCCACCAGTGATTGCCAACTACTCTAGGTCGCAGCGCTTGTGCATCATACATATGACTTCCCCACGGACGCAAGCTACCTATCCTACGTGAACAACGTCAAGGCACGTTTTCCTGGGAAGGCCACATGGATGTCGGTGCGTCTTCTCTACCGTTTGGTGTCGCTCATCCTCATTTGGCGAAGGAAATCTGCTGCTCCCTAGGCTCTGCCAACGGCGCGGGGCGCGGCTGGTCGGGTGGATACGACCCGACCATCGGCAACGCCCTCATGTTTGCGGGCCTGGTGTTTCAGAGCTTTGTTCTGGCAGGCGAACCACATTACGATGTAACAATTCTTCTTTGAGGACCGTTGCCTCACTGACCCTTAAGGCCCTGTTAGTTCTGGACACTGGTTTCCAACGGTATGCCCGCTATTGTAACCCTATACTCCATGATTATCCTTCAGTGAAGGAATCGGCTGCTCACCTCTCACGAGCTCCACTTGCGCTACTACCCCGAACGCCAATGGCTGGACGGTATGTGTAACCTTGGCCATATTCCCAGTCCGAGTTCGATCATCACGTAGGACGGAATGATTTACTACGACCCAAACTACGCAACAAACAAGAACTTCAATCTGTGTACGTCTCTTTCGAACCCCTCCGGTCTTTTGTTGAGTTATATCAGACCTCACCAAACATTTCTACACATATAAGCACTTTGGCAATTTTGTGAAACGTACGCCCATTCTCCCCTTTATTTTAACCAACCTCGTATAATTTCGTTTCGCGTCCCAGCGGGCACCCAGCGCCAGCCCCTTACCGGCTCAGATGTACAACAGGGGATGATGGCCGTCTCAACTCCAACCACCTACTCCGTCCTCGCGATGAACCCAAACACAACCGACACTACGCTCTCCCTCACGTTTCCCGACACTGTCTGCGCTGTGTCCGCCTTCCGCACTTCCGCCTCCGAGGATTTCGCCACGATCGCTGCTGCGACGAAGCCCACGGCAGCGTGGTTGCTCCCACTGAAAACAATGAGCTTGACGACGTACACCTTCAACCGGAAGGCTTGCTGAGCGGAGGATTCTTGGCGCCGTACCACACTTTCTCATCTTTCTGGCACCGTGTACTATCTTTCGGTTTGAATTATCCGATACATACAGACCAGGCACCCGTCCCGCCCCCGACGCAGAGCTGAACAAACCCAATACGTCGACAATAACACTGGGTATTTTGAACGTACGTTGGTCCTGCTCGAGGAATCTCTACCAAGGGGACTGCAAATTTTAACGCCATTTTACGGATATGATAACATCAAACTTCCGTGTACGACATCGCACAACTTTCCCTGCGCCGCGCCTGAGGCATGTTCTATCTGATATTGGACCGCACTGATTACCCACCGGGACATCTTTCTTGACATAAGCCATGTCCATTCAGGGTTGGAGTTACTTTTTGAACGAGCTCTTCTGTCTTGGAACTGTGACGTCCATGCGCGCAAATTAAGCGGTATTTCTGTTGGGCTGACCGGTGCGGGGCGGTTACGGTTTGTAACCCCGAACCCCGCATTTTCCACTTGAAGTATATTTGAACCCTGAGGTGTCGCGTCCTGCAGCCTCATGTCCTCCTCATAGCTCAACTCAGTTCCTGGCGAGTCATTCAATAGGATTATAAAGGTATACTCATTGGGCCGATCTAAGGTGCAGAGATGCAACGGGAACTCTGGAATGCCACCTAAATAAAGTGCCATGTTGACGTAAGTTTCGTTGAGATTTGTTGCGCGGCGGCGAACATGATAGTTAGGGGGCCAACCTGACACCTGTGGCACCGGCAGGGCGCTTTAGTGACGCAGGCCTAGCCCCGTGAACATTCTCACACCAAAAACAGGGAAATTTCAGCTCAGGTGAACACCCAGTCGAAAACACTGGTTTGGGTTGCAAACTGAACACGCAAGCGGAACTATTGGATTCGGCTGCTGTTTCAGCCGAGAGAGCCGAAACTAATTGTTTCGACAGCGTTTTCGGCCGCTGATTTGCGTGTTCGGCCGGCCCGAAACTTATTGTTTCGGCGCATTCCAGCCGAAACTGCGGTCGAAACTGATGTTTCCAGCAGCGTTTTGAGATTGGGGCTGAAACCTTGGTTTTCAGCAGGGTGTTCATCTGGGCCAAAATTTCACATTTTTTGGTGTGTCTGTTGCTCAACTTGGTTCCCCCGAAGCTGCATGAGCACCATTATACCTGTTGAAGTGGGTTCAGAAGAATTCGCGAGAGAATAGCTTAGACTGTACGCTCATAAGGCTCGGGAAAAACAACCACACACCGTTTGTCGCTTCACAAGCGTCCTACTTTAAAGAACGCTTAAGCCGCATCCGGATTCTGTTGCCAGGGGGATACGTATCTGGGGCATATTAATATTCCGATTGAACAATAAAGAACCACTATTGGCTTCCGTACATCCGAAAGGCGGCCATGATCCAGGGAATTGCACACTGCTTCACATCCTAGGAAAGCAGAAAATGCCCTGAGGCTCGGCTCTTCTACTTCTAACTTAGTTGAGCAGACCCTTGCAGACCGCGGGACATTCAATGATCCGACAGCCGCGTTTCGTTATGCGATAATCAAATGCTCAGATCCGGGGTTGCAGAAGTATCTGTGGAGCGGACGTACAGGCTGGAGACAGCTTGGAAGAAGACGTGATATTATGCACAGAAAATGAGGTCGCTTACAAATCGTGGCCTCACAGTATATATACCAGGCTGAAATGCACCGCTTCTCACCCCATTTCCTCCTTTGTCCCGCCGGTAACTCGCACTCCTTGATCTAAAAACGGACACACTAACCCCTACTGCTTAGATTGACGCACGTTGCCCATCCGCTTGCCCACCCGTCGTTGCCGTCCAACCACCTCTGTGACAAGGCTATCAGAGCTCATTGAGCGCACTCGGGATTCTTTTCACGCGGGGAGAACAAATTGCATTGGTGTCGAACTTGATAAGTTGTATTGACCTGTTAGGAGGCAAAGCGGCGGGGAGCTTGGAGAACATGTTTGAGGCTTGTGGGAGAGCTTGAACTACAGAGGGATGTGTTCGATTATAGGCCCAAAATTTGACTTGCGATAAAACCCTATCGAAATAGGATCGAAGTGAAATCCCAGAGAGCGCACGTCTCCGACAATAATAGTTCCGTTTCCCACGGTTCCAAAAACCGGCCAGCCAGGGGTCACGGAGTGGGTCAGTGTAAAGGACTGCTGGCGTTGATGTGGATCAGAATTCGATCGACGCGGCGAAGTACTTCACCATCGTATTTCTGCTTCGCCGGTCATGAGGACGCGAGACAAGGTTTCGCTAACTTCAACACTGTTGGCAAACTTTCTTTCTCCGGGTTGGGCCTCCGGTATCGCTGCCCGCTCGCACACTGGTGGTGAAACGGTATCATGCTTGCCTTCCAACACCAAAGTTCACAGCAAGCGGCAGGGGTTCGACTCCCTTTCAGTGTATCATTTTTACATTTTGAACCCCCGATAAAAGCCATCGCGTACTCTGACACCAGGTTTCCGCCTCTCAATCCGCCTTCCTCTTTATTTTTTTCCGTGATCATCTCGGAACTACACCGTTCCCGTCTCCTACGCCCAGTTGGGAAACCTGGCTCACCCTCGCGAGGACCTCGTCCCGCACGATTTCCTCTCAACAACGTTTCTATGAACGCTCAAACTCGAGTCCGCATTTTCCACAGACATGAACTCCACGGAATTGAACAAGAGAGCGATATCATGAGTAACGGTGATACTCGAATACATCCCCTTGTAGCTCAAACTATCAACCAAACCCAAATGTGTTGCACGCGCGCTCCCCTTTGCTTCGTTTGGTTCAATTATGAGACTCGTAGATCTTTTTAGCCTCTGCATCGTGGAAAACGGAGTTGGATTGGCTACTCGAGGTAAGCCTTTCATGTGTGCACCTTCTCGCATCTTCCGTAATTTTCCCGTCTTTTTTCCTCCTTTTTTGTGAAAACACCGACGCGACGGGTGCCAGGGCAGCACGGGACGACCTAGCGTCGGGTGTATTGACAGAATCTGTTCCCACAGGGGAAGAAATAAATCGAAGATTACCAGCGTCTGCTGCGAGGTGATAGGCAGAGAGCTACATACGGTGTGCATTGCAACCCCTTTATATATGCTTTGGATTTTCCGCGCTCTCATCGTGATCACCTCTTCACACTGGGAGAACTCATCCACGCTGAGGGAGGTTTCCCAATCAGGAGGTTCGAATCGAGGCGTAATGGACACTGATGTAAGACAGCCGCATCCCCCGCGCACATGTAACTTGAGCCTGGGCCTCTTCATGATGGTGTTCTCCTCAGGAGAACACCCTTCCTTGGGCGTCACGGTGGGCAAAAGCCTTGAATAAATTGTTCATGGATTGGGGCTGGACGCAGAAGACATGCGTTGCAGAATAGTTTATCACGCGAACGCGTCATATGATGAAGACATAGAACGCCGGCCAACGTTGAACTGATGGACAGTAAGTTATGGGCGATATACTGTCAAATAAATAAATTTCGCTGTGGTTGAGAATCTGGGTACAACTTACGTTTTTGATGGCAACTTTGCCGCTGGAGCGCAACTAGAGCGGCAACTTTGCGACCGATCAAATTCAAGGTACAACATCCACCCATAACAACTTCAGCTGCTCGCAACTTTGCAGCTAACAACTCTACCAGCCAATGTCACCATGTCGACACCTTTCTTTCAACCCAGTGACAACTTTCTTGAACACTCTGAGGGTTATCTGCAACTTTCTCCGGATGCTACTTACTCGAGGTGCATCTCTGGAGATACAACTTTACGGCGGGTACATCCCGGGACTTGACTCGTCTTGCGGCAATTTTTCTGCTGGCTACATCTACTGTCTTCGTTTTTTCACCCTTTTAATCTCCCCCACTGGCCTCGGGCTACTGCACCCCAGGCTTCTCTTTGTATTCCTCGTGCTCTCCTCCAGCCTTTGCGATGTGCACCGCATATCCTTAATCTGGAACGTACGGGACAGACACAGATGTAGGTAGGAGTTCCAACCTTTATCCCCCTCCCTCAGTTTGACGCGAAAAAAACACCCGCATATACCTCTCAAGGAATGACGAGTGACCCATTTTCAGGTGTCGGATCAGTGGCGCGCAAGCTCCGCCGAACACGAATGTGGGCGAGCCCGCAGCAGCCACCGTCGCTCATCGGGACTCAGAACTTCACCGTCAGTGCACTCAAATCGCCCTCAACATTCATGTGCTATCGCTTCTAGGACCCCCAAAAACTCGAAGTGGCCCATTTTCACACTGCGGGCAAATGCCGTGGCCGTGGGTTCATGGCGTTTGATTGGCGTAGGAACGACACTTGCCATGGCGTTTGCCAGGCGTTGGACAAATCTCTTTGTTCTTTTGTCAGCGTGGGAAAATGCACTGATTGAGTTCGAACCACAGCCATGTTCGTCACTTTCTCTCAGATATCAACCGGGCAGGCGGTATTTTTCTCTCAGTGAAGTCGCGTAGACATCAAAAGCAAGGAAAACTATCCGACGATCTGTGATAGCCTTTAATTCCTCCAACCCTTGCAGTGTAATGCATACGGCATAAGGCCTGGTGCCCACAAAAAATTGGCTACACCTCCGCGAGTCCTCAGAGAAGCTTGTAAAAAGTCTGTTCATGCCTAGCATCAGGCTACGATGTAAATCGAAATATTCTCCACCTTGAAAAGGGTTGAGGAATGAAGAGATCCCGAAAATGATCAAGGCAACGATGATCACCAAGTGATCCGGACATCAAGCCGCTTAAATTCACACGCCGACAAAGGAACAAAGAGATTTGTGCAACGCCTGGCAAACGCCATGGCAAGTGTCGTTCCTACGCCGATCAAACGCCATGAACCCACGGCCACGGCAGTTGCCCGCAGTGTCAGATGTCGGATCGGCGGACACCAGTGTCCGGTACAGTATAGTATTCCTTCGAACAAAGTCCTATATGATGTATGGTTCCCCCATTAATTTCTCCTCGGCCTTGTCTTTTGACTCGCACCGACCCCATCTACCATGAATTGTGGGTTTTCCTCCGGAGTCCGCCCTATCCGCCGCAGCTGGTCAGTGAGGACTGTTCGGATTACAGACCTTGTCCTCTGATATTTTAGACAAACATTTATCTCCAGGAAGATCTCTTGGGTGTTGATTATTGCTCTGAAATTGTTTTCATCACCATAGCTAATGGACTGCCTCCACTGGGTAATCATCTTACTAAGCCGCTACTCCGTCACCGAGGTTGAACCGAGATAAGTTCGAAGTTGTACTGGGAGAAAGGTGCGACTCCTGAATGTTGCCCCTTAAATGTTGACTCGAGTGGAGTTGTACTTCCAAAAAGTTGTCCCTATCCAAAGTTGTCCCTATCCAGAGTTGTGATAATTGTACATCTGAAGTTGTCTCCGACACGAATCCAAGATGTCCTCACAGTGTTTTTAGTTGCACTCTTGCAAGGTTGCCGCTGGAGTTAGTTGCAGCGACTCCAAGTTGGCCTGTGGATGTTGTCTCTACGCGATGTTGTCGTCTTTCCAAAGTTGCCAACAAAATTGCTCGAAATTCTGCAAGTTGTCACCACATTCCTACCAAATTGGAGAAGTTGTATGTTTTTAATTTTTTGACAGTATGTGTGCCATAGTAAGTCAAGACACGTCGGTGCTGACATGGTAGTACATCTTCGAAGCGGGTCAAACAGCTCGAGAGTACGCCGCCAGGATGGTTATTGTGGCGGTTCTTCCCCGGTCGAGCCAGAATAAGCAACCGCCGCCACCTTGGGCAGTTGAAAATTGGAATTGCGAGCGAAGGGCACATCGATTCTGAGAGAACGTCTCTGTCAAAATTCGAGGAAAAGCAGCACAAAATCATGATGATGGGATTTATTCGCGACATTGAACACGAATCAGGGCCCAAGGGTAGAAATTACAAACAAATGCAACGCGTCAGAAACTATAACGGCTCGACACAGGAAAACTCCATCCGACTACAGGCAAACTAGAGAGTGATGGGGAGGCAGTTGATAGCGATGAGACCACCTGGAGCGAGAACAGGTCAGTACGCCGGAAGGAAGATGATGATAAGTAATACGCACCCCACTCCTTCTCCGGGGCATCACAGTTGACGGTGGTGCTTCCGCTAAATATGCACATGAGACTGAGATATTGTAGAAGGCAAGGGGATATACCAGTTGTTTCCGATGACGGTGATGGGCGAGCAGCTCAACCCGATCGGCACATCGAGGCCAGTGAGGTCAAGGCCGAGGACGGCGGCCACGGCGGAGACAGCAGAGCTGGTGACCGACTCGACGCTGCTGCAGCACTGGGGGGAGGTCGGGGGAGTGACCGGGGGAGGAGGAGTGCCTCCGGGCATGGCGGCAGCAAGGGTCTGAAGTTTGATAAATTAGTTAGACATATGTAGAATACGAGAATGTTTTGAAGCGTACAATGAGCACAGAGACGGCAACGATGGAGAGCTTGGAGAACATCTTTGCTTTACAGAGGGCTTGAACTACAGGGGGATGTGTTCGAGTGAGGTCTGAGAGAGAGAATGATTGTCCCTTTTATATGCTCTCCCCCCACAAGTTCCAACGATCCCGCGGTCTTCCAGAGCGCTTGAAGGGCACAGACCCCCCAATTGTGTTGGGTGGGGCAGTGGAGCTGTTCGACACAGATTGAATATGTCCGGAGAAGCAAGCGACAGTATGGTCATTATCTTGCACCGCCAAAACAGGAATAATGAGTCGACGAGACGAGGCGTGGAGCGCATCATAGCAGTTCCTGGGACAGTCTCACGTCAAGTCAAGCAGCCCGTAACCACGAGGCAAGCAGAGATGAATAGCGTTGTGTTTTGCCGATGTTTTATTGAAATTCATCGCGTACGTCGATCTTGTGACAAGTCAACTATTGCTTGTATCCTCTTGTATCCAAGCCCACTTGCAACGACACTTGTTCTGTCGGGTTTGCGAGTCGCGGAAGCCACTGGACACAAATCGTGTCTTTGGGCGGTGAACACGGGTACTTGAATGAAAAATGGCGTCATTGGCCTCCGCGGGGTTGATATCAAACCGCATGGGTTGCGGAGAAAGAGCGCCTTCGATGCTGAAACATATAGTTCTCGGTGTCACAAGCGCATCCATACAGTCGCCGTTGGAAGAGTCCGTGAAGTGCATATGAGAGAACATGATGAATGTTGAGATTATTTTGGATCGCTGGAACGAGGCAAACGTCAGATGCATGGAACTGTCGGAACGTCGGAGGCAGTAGGGATTTGGTGAACGCCACCGACGTGGAAGACAGTCCGCTGACTGGTGCTGAATGATGGTGTGACTTTGAAGAAGAAAGGTTCCCGAGTCACAGACTTCCAGATCAAGCGTTTTCGGTTTCACACTTTTTCCTTCTTCCCACCAGCGGCGATTTAACCCATGCGACTGAAGACTAATTGGAGTTTT